AAGCAACCTTTCATAACTCGAAATGGAAAAGAATTTGACTGAAGAGAAGCTGAAAGAATGTTGTCATACTGTTGCCATATATTACAAGTGGAATGAATTTTGCAAAGGACAAAAATGTTCTACCTTAAGTCGCTTTCTCATATCTGTATTTATAGAGTGTGGAATAAATAATTCTGTTAATTAACAAACAGAGGCGTCAGTAAAATTATTTACATGTGCAGGCATAATCTATCATATTTCACTTAACTACCTAAAAACTTGAAACTAATTCAACTGCTTGTTATACCTTTAAATTAGCTCAATTCATACAGGGTTAAAATTGGAAAATAAATAGATGGGTCAAAATTCAATCCCGCGAATTCATTTACATTTCTGCTACAACTATAGCATGTACAAGTTATCGTTAGACATTCAATTGCTTCGACTTGAATAAATCGAGGAGACCAAAAGGAATTTAAAATAGTGTGCTTATAAAAAGGAAATTATAATAGTACTCTTTTTATTTATAAATTATACTAATTATATACTCTATAAAATATGTAATAAATTTTGGGCCCCTGAGTCGAGCCTATATCAAGCTGCACATATATTGCCCGTCAATAATATTCAAAAGCTTCTATCATATTTTTTGGCCCGTCAGCCCAATTTAATCATGTGTGTAAATTCAAATATACAAAACATATACACGATGTATGAATTAGATCCATGCTTTTTTTGGGGCTTGTGTAAGGATTTCCCTATCGGTTAGCTGGAGAAAGGGCAATTGACTTCCTCCCTTCATTCTTCATTCTTCTATTCAAGTGGGAGGAAAAAGACTTTTACGACATTAAACTTTTTACCTTTAGCGATTGCTAAGACTTTATCGCATCTAGGTTTTACATCAAACTATAATAATTCATATATCATGGTTAAATCATTTATTAACATGACAATACATATTAATTAATTACTTATTTAGTGATAAATGTGGGATGTGTAAGTAATTAATTAACTACTCTCTTCAGTGCATTATAAGTGAAGTTTTGAGACTCTTTTATAGTTAAAATAAGGGAATTTTTCAAAGTTCAAGAGTATATTGTTATTATTATTTTCCCAAAATTTTCCTTTTTTAAATGAGGTTTTTTAAAAAGTGGTTTTCATTTTCTAGAAGAGGTTTTTTTAAAGTGGTTTTCATTTTCTAGAAGATTAATTACATTGATTGTGACTGAAAATATTGAAAAATCATCCTTTTATGTCCTTAAATATCTTTCTTAAGGAATATATCACACTCACGCCTCAATAATTCACTTATATTAGACTGATATAAATATCAAATTCAGGTAAAATCTTACATTTACTACCATAATTTAGTATGCAAAACAATCGTTTTCAGTTACTTAAAGGCAAATGACAGTAGAAAAAGATAATTTTAGGCAGGAGGTGGTCTAAGTAGATTGCACAACCCAAAGGATATGGCAGATTTCATGGATCTTTTGACTAATTAATGAAAGCAGCATGTGAAGGACTTACTTTCCTTCACTACTTGTCAATATGACTATTACTTTAACACTACTACTACTATCCCACCTTTAATTTCTCTCCTCTTTTTATTAGATACATTACTACAATTCACCTTCTATACATCATTATCTTGTCATCTTGTAATTCTTCTATGGGATTTGCTGAGTTTTTTTTTTTTTTTTTTTTTTTGCTCTTTAGCAATTAATTTATGTCTAGTGTGCCATAATAAAGGGAAAAATTATAAATTATTTTTAAAAAAAATTGAAATTTAGTAAGAATTAGATGAATTGAGTTATGACATCTTTTTTGCTTTATTTTAGTTTAAGTAACTTTTGAACGGATTAATAATTCGTTTATTAATTAATAACTAGGTTCGTTTGAAAACCTTCTCTCCTCTCCAAATTCAGCTCAATTCCCCATTTAACCTCTAGATTCAATTATATATGATTTTTTTTCTTTTTATAGAGTTGGAAATAGTTTAATTTAGTTGGTGTTGTAGCAAACTATTTTTGGTTAGCTAGAACGTGCATAATTATTTATGTAATAGTAATTAAGTCGTGGAGGGAGGAGTGAAGCAAGCAACAAGTGGAAGATAAACTATTCAGGTGATTATCTCCCCCACCCCACCCCCACCCCCACCCCCTATTAAATGGGGTAGGTCAAGGAAGCCGGAAATGATAAAGTATGACGTAATGTGAATCGAATCCCACAAGCCACAACAGGTAAAGTGAAAGTTCTGGAGCTATTAAATTTGCGATGTGAAACTATAATTTTTAATTATATTTAAATTAATATATATTTGGTCATATAATTTGAAATCTCCAAAAAAAATAAAAATACTATGATTAGAAATTCCAAATTATAATTTCACTTTTTGAATGTAAAACTGATCCATAAATTTAAATCTTGTTAAATAAGACTCATTATATTATAGGTGTATTTGAATAGTTGTTTTTATAGAATTATTTGTTTTTGAAAATTTGTAATCGTAAGCATTTATGTATGAGAGAATCATGGAGTTATGTGATTTATCAATACAGTGTCTTAGAACATCAACTCTCATAGCGTGTTTATGAATTATGATTTATTCATTTGGTTAGATTAGATATGAATTGAAGAAATTTTGATAGTTTTCAATTTTAAAAAATCTAAATTACATGTGCATACAAACTTTACCTTCATATCATTTAATTTCATATCGCATGTCCAGGTAAAATACGATTAGAAGGCTCATGTGCATTTCACTAATAAATAATTCATGTATTATCTCATTTATTCGATTACTCCATTAATTTAAAAAGAACGGCGTACAGTAGTTGTGTTTGAAAACTCCTTTAAACTAGAAAATTAATATTTTGCTCTTAGCTAGTGACATGTTCTTATTGGCATACAATGTCCTGTTTTGATACTCAAATTTTAGGAAACTTTATTTTTCTTCAGTCAATAAATCGAGCAAGCTAATTTCCATAGCTAAACAACCAGCCAGAGAACTGGCTTTAGCCTTGGGGATCATTGGGAACAAGTTATCCTGAGATTCATTATTTCAGAATAAGTTATTTCATCAGATATATGGAATAACTTATCCTATCATTAAGATCTAAATAGTTGAATAAATAATTTCAATACTACCTAATATCTCCAATCGAACTCAGATTAAATAGTCCTCTATTTTATTGCTGAAATTGTCATATCTTGTACTCCCTCCGTCCTATTTTATATGAGGTAGTTTGACTCGACACGGAGTTTTAAAAAAAAATGAAGACTTTTAAAACTTGTGGTCCAAAATGAATAATAGAAATTTGTGTGGCCGACTGGCCGTAAATCATTTCATTAAGGGTAAAATAAACATTTTATAGTTAAATTATTACTTAATATAAAAATGTATCATTCTTTTTTAAACTTACTAAAAAGAAAAGTAGAGTTATTGGTTAAAATCATCTCTTAACTATGACTCAAATCTAATGTACATCCTTATATTATCTAAGTGAGCAAAAAACATCCTTATACTATCTAAAAATTAACAAGAATCATCCTTCAATCTATTTTTGTTAAGAAACTGGTTTAACCAATAAAAAAAATTAATTTGGTCATGTCTTGCCACGACGAGTAGATCAAAGTTACCTAAAAAGAATAAGGATAAGGATAGGAAATGAATCTTTCATTATCAGAATTTAAATTTTGTGTGTTGTTAGTTCATATGTTTTTTGCATCATCAAGTAAATTGACTTGCAACAATACATAAGTTTTGAAATATTTGTATAGTAGGTTCCGATGATTAGAAAGATTATGTAAAAAATAATCATTTAAAAAATATTACGTCCAACTATTTAGAGGTTTTTTTAATAAAATATTTAGGGCGTATGTACTATATATACAATGCAATTCACATTTTATACAATGTACATAATTGCTGGAAATTTAGTGAAATTATGTAGGCGTTTAGTTATAAAAATAAAAAAATAATTATTGTTTTCGAAATTTTTGAAATTGGAGTAGTATTTGGCCATATTTTTACAAAGAATATTTAGAATTTCAATATATTTTGTCTGAATATGATTTAAACCCTCAATTTCTAAAAATTTAAAAAAATCACTTAACTTGACTAGCTTAATCATGTGTACATATATTTATTCGACTTGACACATTTTTTGTTGGTAGCATGAGTTTCTTAAAAAAAATAGACAGAATGATGAATCTTGCAACTTTTTGGATAGTTCAAGGATGTTTTTTGTAAGTACATAACACAAGGATGTACTCTAAGTTTAGGTCATACTTCAAGGATGATTTTAGCCAAAAACTCAAAAAAAGTAAGCCACATAAATTGGGACGGAGGAAATACCTCATAAGTCATACCAAATGAAACACTAATAAAAGCTGTGTTTCAGGTTTTGGAATTGATAATTAAGGTTAGAAAATGAGTCATAATTATTAAATAATGATAATGAATAGTGTGGTTTTTTTTTTTGGCGCGGTTTTTGACTATTCGTGATTATACAATAAAGTCCCCCACGATCTCTCCTCGAGTCCCCAACTCTCACCAAGCAACTTAAATGCAACCAACAACAATCTATATGCCTATTTATTTACGCCAAAACACTTCTTTGGAAAAAGCTTTTTCTAGTTGTAGTTACTACATTTATTACTCATTCCGCTATCTAAAATAGTATAGTAATTAAAATAAAATTCCAAAATAAAAATAACTTACTAAAATATACTTTTAATTAAAGTTTTCATAAAGAATATGTTAGACAACAAAATACAAATAATATGATGGCAGGTAGGAATGAAGTGGAGCGTAGCGCACTTTAGGTCCTAAGCTAGAAAGTTCTCTCTTTTCGATTTATTCATAAACACACTAAACAAGCCTTATAAAAGACATTTCTGGGAAAATTCATCGCGAATCATCATCCGTGTGAATAATCGACCTCTAAACAAAATCGAGCCATAACAACTAAATCATTCAGGAATCGTGGCACATGTTCTTCATTTAAGATATTTACACACTTAATTAATTTATTAAAAAATGGAAGCTTGCTAAAAAGGAGGAAAAGTTCTACCAATATTGCTGGCATTTGCGAAAAAACCTACCAGATCTCGCCGGTATGGTAAATATGATTTGCGCCTATTCTTATCCATTTCCTTTGCCGCTTGGTTCCGTAAATAAACGTCCGTCATCGAAGATGCCTTGTTACCGCTGCTACTGTTGCCCTTTGCCTTCAATTTTCCGGCAACTTTAGACGCCTCTGCTGAGTCCTTTGCTTTGGACCTTTCGCTTTTCAATCCTTTTTCCGGTGTCAGAAATACAAAACTGTCCTTACCGTCACTGTTGCTCCGGCGCATCAAATCTCGAATACTCCACCGCTTAAACGCCGATCCCGTTGAATTACTCTTCTTACATTTGCTTGGTGAAGGCTCGGTTATATTCGGCTTCCATACACAATACGTTCCCGGAGGTACACTCTCCAACTCATCGACCTCGGAAGATGATGACGACAGCGGTTCCCGTTCTTCTAAGAATAAATCCTTTAACGAAACTTGAACTGAACTATTGAGGTTTTCAGACGATTCACCGATAAGACCTTCGCGATCTACGTCATAAGAAACGTCATTTAGTAACAGATCGCGGTTGAAAACGGGGTAAATAGGCTGGATTTGACGGTCGAAGGGGAATACGCCGCCCGAATCCTCTGGATTTTCACATACCAAAGAGAATACAAAATCCTCTTCTTCATCGGCACCGTCAGCGTTCTCTTCTACCACCTCAGAATCACGTTTAATTTCATCGGAGATTTTTCCGGCAATGTCTGCCACTCTATTTGAAGAGTAGCTGCTAAAGCTAGGAGAGAAATATTCTTCTTCCTGCATGTGAGTAGTTGTAATTTCATAAACGCTCTGGTGCACGTTTATTGTCTCTGTAGGTTATGATCTTATTAATGGAGAGAGAATTATTTATGACAGGGAAGACGGACTGTTTCAGTTTCCAGCTGCGCTTCTATAGTATTTGTGCAAGTTGTAATGAGAGGTTTTTTTTTTTCAAGAAATATTCATGTAGACACCGTAATTTTTGATCGAACTAAAATTTTACATTATTTTTAGAGCTTAAATATTTTTAAAATATAAATTAAAATATTTTTGACTTTTATCTTATTTTAGTAAGTTTATTTTAAAAGATTTGAAAATAACAAAAAAATATGTTTTCATTTAATTTAGATTTAATCAATAAGCAAGTGTTTCTTAATTATATTTTTAGACTAGCTATTTGACTTTTCTTATATGTTATTAATTCAAAATAATTAATTAATATTTTTTATTATTATGATTTATATATATATATATATATATATATATATATATATATATATATTTCAGCTAAAAAAAATAATAACCTAAACTACCCACACAACCCTTTCAACCCCACTACCCCAACTCCACTACCCACCTCACACCACAACACCCCACTATCCTAAACACATACACACTACTACAATCAGCAACCCCTACCCCCTATATATCAACACACATCCTAACTACATTAAGACACTCAGACGTACAGAAAAAAAAAACCAACCATCAGCAAAGGAAAAACACACAAAACGTACAACAAAGAAAAAAGGAAAAAAAAGATAGAAAAAATTAGCGAACAATCCCACAAACCAAAACAATCAACATCACTACAATCTGCACGCACACACGCTGCACGAGAAAAAAAAGAAGAAAAACGGTCCCATTTTATTTTATTATCGTTTTAAAAATTCACCAACGCATTCACATATTTTCTTTCTTATTCATTTTTTTTCATATCAACACAAACACATGTACCATCACAAACAACCTACAAAATTTTGTGGGTGTTCTAATCGAGCTTCGATTAAGATTTTGCGATATTCAACTTTACCTTATCTCTTTATTTAATTTATTCATGAAATTTGATGTAATTTTATGACAAGTTTTATTATATTTTGTTTCATTCATGAATTTGATTGAAATGATTCATTTGTTAGTTGTTATATATCTATTTCATGAATGAAGGTAGCTTTAATTGATGATTATGTTTTTTATTTATTTTTATTTGTTAGTTGTGATCTCTTAAAAATGAACGGGTCATAACATTGTTCTTGTCTTGAGATAATAATGATAAAGTAGGTATAGTTAGGCTAAAAAATAAATATATAAATAAATTATTGTTGTTTTATTTTATCAAACAAAAAATGAGATTTATTTTAACAATTGTTATAGTTTTGACACCAACTTTAAGAATAATAAAAAATAAAAGATATCGAAATGATACAAAATTTATTTCTAGAAGTTTAGTATTTTACTTTATTTGCTTTTTCTTTATAAGAAATAAATATTTTATTTTAATGTTAGACCGAACATTTAGACACATTAAAAATATTTGTTTCGATTAAGAATGTGGTTGCGCATCTTTTTTGAGACAATTAAAATAAACTCAAGGATGCGATGATGAACATTGCCCAATAATATAATTAACTTTTATTAATTTAAAGTAGAGACTTATAAAAAAAAAGATTATTAAGTGTGATGCAAAGAAGACAGTTATGTCTCTAAATGTCAAGACCAAGAATGCGGTTACGCATCTAGGTCGAGACCAAATAAAAGTTCAACAAATAAACAATGCAAGCGAGAATGTAGCCTATAATATATATCCAAAAATATTTAAAAGTAAGTATACATCAATAAAAGCGATCGTGCTAGAACCACAAGACTCGAGCGATGCCTAATACCTTCCCCTTGGTCAATAGAATTTCTTGCCCGAATTTCTAGTTCGCAGACCAAAATAAAGAGTCATTTCCTTTTGATTAGGGATTAAAAAAAGGTGACTTGAAACACCATAACTCAATTTTAAGTAGCGACTCTGAAAATAAAACAAAATAATCTCTAATCAATAACGTCACTTAAATTGAAAAAATCCTATACGCCGGTGCGCAAAAAGGGGTGTGACAATTCAAATATCTAATTTTTATTCTTAAAAATTTAACATAAATGTAAAACATGTGTTGCGTTTATTAACATATTTTTTGAAAAAGTTATATGATAATTATTATAATAAAATATGGAATACTATAAATTTTATAAATAAAATACAATTTTTTATATGATTTTTCTATTAAGAGTTTATTTGACATTCTTGTTTGAAGGCCAGAAACATTTATTTTGAGGGAAAATAAATTTATTGAAAAATTAAGTATTTGGCAAATCAGTAAAAGTGTTTTTAAATGGAAGTAGAAGCAATTTAGTTTTCTGTTGTTGGGAAAAAGCTAAAAAAAATTCAGTTATTGGGAAGAAACAAAAAAGCAAAAACAAAAAAAGTATTTTTCTCAAGACTAAAATATCCTTTTCATATATGCTTAATTACATATTTACTAATATATTTCTTATTAGTTAATTAGCATATTTCATAAGTTTAGTTAAATTTAATTTAAGAATTTTATTTTTTGTTTTATATAAGAAAATTATAATTTATTTTATGTTTATATATTATTATTTTATATATTATATATAATTTTACGTATTATTTTGTAGAATTAGGAAAAAGGTATCAACAATATTTTTTTCAAGATTAGAAAAAAGAAGAAAAAATAACAACTAAAGATTTCAGCCTCCCAAAAAAAGTATAATATTGATTGAAAATTTAAACATGTAAATTTTAATTTTTTTAAAAATAAAAATTTAATTAACTTTTTATAATAGATATATAAAATAGTTTTTCTCTATAAAATAATTTTAATATTAGAAGTACATTAATAATTGTCATTTTTTGTAATTTGACTAAAAAAAACACTTTTTAAAAAAGATTAGCCAAACGCAGTTTGCTTATGAAAAATACTTTTCAAATATATTAGTCAAACACAAATTATTATTTTTTCAAGCACTTTCTAAAAAGCCATTTTAAAAAGTATTTCTAAAAATAAGTTGTTTTTAGCATCAATGCCAAACATGCTCTAAAACTATAACACGTCATACAAGATTTTCCTACATTTCAGTTTAAACAATTAAAATTAATTTAATTTGCTATAAAGAAAAAAAAAACACTAATATTCTGTAATTACTGATTGAAGCAGGATATTTACTCTCTTTTCTCATTTTAGGTTCCTCTTCATAAATAAACTGTTACATATAATTAATTAACTTAAACGCTAAGAAAATTCATTCAGTTACTCTTTTTTTCTGATAAGAAAATTCACTCAAGAAGAAATAGAGGAGTATTTTGGATAAATCTACTTAACCACATAAGTTTCCTTTTTTAAAAAAAGAAAGTTGGAGGAAATTTTCAAGAGAATATTAAGAAATAAGTTCTAACTAGTCGAATTAATAAATTTTCTAATACATGATGGAAAAAGAAATTTTTTTCCCCTATAAATCTACGACCATAGATCTTTTGAATAACCTTTTTCATAACTTTGATTTTTATTTTAATTTTGGAAGCTTCTATAAGTAAGTAACTCGAATCTGTCAATTTTTTACTAATTAACAAAACGCGATGTTCGTTCCTTTTCGCATCTACTTTTTAGTTGAGAAGGTGCAACTTTTTCCTTGATAACAATCCAATTTACACGCGTGCATCAAGATATTTTCATTTAATTCATTCGATTAAATTATATTATGTCGATAATAATAAAAATAAAGTGTATAATTTTCTTGTTCTTCTTATACACATTTTCCGTTCATACAACAAAATAGATAGAGTTCTAATGAAAAAATTGGTTGCAAGCTTTTCTTTTTCAAATCAATAAAAGCATAGACTTCCCATAATAATCAAATATTTGACTGTGTGGTGAGTTGTTGGTTAAACTTAATAATCTTTCTTGTTTGCATATCCACTCTTAATAAGCTAAAATGATTACTATATCATATATTAAAGATTATTTTCATTAAGTGATCATACATAACAAAGGACTTAAATATTCTTACCAAATTACATCCAAATGTGCTAATGTAGTGCTTAGTTCGTTCTTTTGCCGCTTAAACGTCATCTCCTTGGCCTATTTCCCTTGTGTTTTTCTTCATTATTCGGTATTACTAATGTCCTTTTGTTACAAAAAAAAATATAAAAATTCCAGCACTAAATTTGTCATTTGATAACATACAATAATTCATCATCTGATGTGTGTCGATTGCATCGCAGCTAAACTTTAGAAATGTGAAAATTTATAAGTTGATTTTTTAAAATGCAATTTGCAGATCATAATCATTTGTCCCAATTTGTATGTCGTTTTTCTGAATCACAATTTATAACTGAAATATATCCTATAAATTATGTTTCTGAATGCAACTATTTATCGGTTGAACTTATTCTTAATGTATTGATGATGTAAATGTAAATATTCAAAGGAAAATTTGGACGAATCATATTAAACATTGGTCAGAAGCTAATCATTGTATCGCAGTTTGTTTCAAAGGGGGCCGGCATAGCACTTAAGTGCAAGTCGGCAATATGTCAGTATTGAAATTCGAATAGAAAACTTTGAATTTAAGCAAACTAACAATGCACATAGTTTTAACACATTTTTAAGGGGGAAATGATCTGATGGACCCTTATACTTGTATAAGTTTGTATTCTGAACTCTTCTACTTAGTTATTTGTCATTTAGACCCTTAAACTCAATAAAACACAATTTAACAAATTCCTCTAACCATTAATCAAGCTTATGTGTCTTTAAAATGGTTGAGTTGACGAAAATGTGTGACTTCACGCACCTTAAGGTAAGTGAATAACTTTTTAAAAATATATTAAAATTATAAAAGAGATATTTAAAAAAAAAAACAATTAATTCAGAAGTCATTTCTTCTTCCCCCACTAACCTCTTCTTTTTGGCCATTTTCATGCTTGAATAAACTTTTTTTTTTCTTCTCCACAATTTACCAACACCTATTTAGCAATCCGTTGAATGTTCTTTGTGGCAGTCTCTTTTTAATTTTAGAGATTGGATTTAATTGGGAGAAATCGCTCACACCTTTCTCAGCTTGAAATTTTGTTCTTTTTTTTTTCTTTGGGCAAAAATATACTATTTGTTAACTTACGGTAGCCATTTTTATTTTGCCCGTCGAGGTTTCGAGTTGAATTTCTATGTGATAACTCTCTTTGCTTTGTACTATTAAGTGACTCCAGTATTTGAAAATAGGTTTTGTTGCAAAAAAAAAAAAAAAACACCTATTTAGCGGATCTTGGCGACTGATTCACCGCGGGAGGGAGAAAGCGGACCAGCGCTTGCCGGAGACCACTGAATCGCAGTGGTGTGAGAGAGAGGCGACACTGGCTAGTGGAGAGGAGAACGAGGTGGGTGAGGGTGCGGTCATGGCGGTGAAGAGGTTTTTCGGCAGGATCCGGTGGTGCGGTGGCTTAGGTTGTTGTTTTTGTGGAGATTGGAGGTGGAAAGAAAAATAGTGATGGTGTACGGTGGAGATGACGAAAGTGAGGGAGAAAGTATATGTGATTTCGCCGGCAAAAATGGGGACGACGGCGGCCATGACTTTCTCCGATTGATTTTGGTCGTGAAAATAGGGAGAATTAGATATATGGAATTTCACTTTAAAAAATGCCAAAAATAAATTAAAATGTTATCATTTTACATTTTATTATATAATTTTGGTTAATAATTTTAAAAAATAGTTATGAATTGGCGAAATGGTCTGGAGAACAACTCAATTAAAATGAGACTTTTAAGTCCCTCCAACCATGTGTGTAGCTCACTATCCTTTATATAATTGACATGTCATATCCACGTCAGATATATTAATGCCACATCATAATTATTTCATAACTATTTTTTAAAATTAATAACCAAAATTATTTAATAAAATGTAAAATAATAACATTTTAATTTATTATTGGCATTTCTAATTCTCCCTATTTCACGACCAAAAGAAAGCCATTACCGGCGTCGTCGCCATTTTTGCCAGCGAAATCACATATACTTTCTCCCTCACCCATCTTCATCTCCGCCGCATACCATCACTATTTTTCTTTCCTCCTCCAACCTCCACAGTAACAACAACCTAAACCACCGCACAACCAAATCTAACCAAACATGCATAATCCTCACACCCCAAATTGCATACAAATACAATTTCACACCAACCTCTGCCATGAAACTCGTCGAAATCTACCCATTATAGTTTCTCCCCTTCCCATTGTTTCATGGCCTAAACCATCGCCGTCGTCGCCATTGTTGCCGGCGAAACCACTCATATTCCTCCCTTTACCTGCCTTTATCTCCGCCACACGTCACGACCATTTTCCTTTCCTTCTCCAACCTCACAAAACCAACAACCTACGTCAACACACCAGATCTAGCCGAAAAATAGATTGTGGAAAAAAAGAAAAAAAGGATTGGGTAAGGGATGAATATGAAAATGAAGTGTAATGGGTGAAGTAGAAGGAGTTTTTTAATTAATGGTCTAACATTTTTTTTTATAGTTTTAAATATTTTTTAAGTAAAAATGCTCCTCACTCGCCTTAATAAGTGTGTAGTTACATACTTTTGCCAACTCAGACATCTTACTGCCACATAAGTCTGGTCAATGGTCAAAGGTGTTTGTTAAATTGTGTTTTATTGAGTTTAAGGGTCCAGATGACAACTGTGTAAGTAGAATGGTTCAGAATACAAATTGATACAAGTATAAGGGTCCACCATACCATTTCGCCATTATATAAAGGAGAGTGAGCTACACACATATGGTTGAAGAGGCTTAAAAGTCTCATTTTAATTGAGTTTAAGTGTCCAAATGACAATTAATTCGGGGCAGAGGAAAATTAACAAACTAATGAAACGACAAGTGATGAAAACGAAATAAGACAAACATAGCTATAGTATATATCAACATCAACTAAATAAGTACACCAAATTCATAAATCATCTAACTATATGCGTATAGAACGGAAATTTCGGTCAACTTTCCATTATATTAATATCAAAAAAATACATCTATAATATTATTTTGTATATTTTTTTAATATCTAAATTTTAATTTTGAAATATCAAAATAATCTAATATAATTTAATTTAAAATTTTAGTCAAATTAATTTTCGAACCGAGACATAAAAACTATTTTGAAACGAATAAAGTGTGAACATGTCGTAAAGCACCCCGGATGACTTGCCTGTTGATTAATTAATTTGAATTGGATCACATGAGCTATTATAGTCTCCTTTTATCGAATTTCTGAAAAATCAAGAGCTTTTTTTTCCCTTTAAACGAACGATATATGTACTTCATTTTTCAAATAGTTCAAAGATAATTTTGACTCTTTTTCGTTAATACGACTTAGGAAGATAATGATAGCTTAATCAAATCCTTTACCAAAGGGGATGTTTTTAGAATGTTACAATGATAATAAATTTCACCCCAAAAATGACACCTCAAAACGTTAGTTTCTACTTTCCTAGCCCCATTCACTCATTATTGTTAAATATATCTACTTTACACAACTTAATTAACTTTACAAATTGAACAGTCATTTATGTAATGTGACAAACTACAAACTATTCTTAAAGATGTACTTTTTGTTTGCCTCTATCACTGGACTCCTCAGCAAAGTCACTGTTTAAACTTTCGAATCGATTCCTTTGAATCTGATCATGATACATAGGATAGAACTCTGTTTGAAATGCCCTGTGCGTAACGTATGGTAACAAAGTGGCAACGACAACCACAAGTGTGACAAGCCAATAGAAAGGACTCGGAGCACAAGCTTCCACAAGAATTTTGTACGCGGTTGTAGATATTATAGGCGAAAGAGAGCCATAAACAACTAAAAACAAGTACCAAATGGCAATGCTGCCCCAAATGAAGAAGTGCTGAATCCAAGTGAAGTAGTTGATAGAGATTGCCATTTGACAATTGACTGTCCACACCACACACGTGTACATCATCACTCCGAGGACTCCGTAGTCAACTGGTTGACCATCTTTCCGGAATACTTGATGCACGAGTGAATTGGTGGTGCCAAAGAAGATGATCATAGAACAGAGAACACCGTTCAACATCCAGCCTAAAATGCGACGCCAACTGAAAAGAATGTTCTTCGTTCCCTCTTCATAGAGCTTAGGAAACTGCAAAAGAGATGCTATGAGAGATGTAAAGAAATCCTTCTCGACTTGCATGTATCAGTAACTTGAGCGAAATGGGCTTCATAGATACTAAGCTATTCATTTAAATCTTGTAACTGAATCATCCAACTACATCTTCACATAAACAGAATATTATCAATGCATTTCACGTGCCTCGTCTAACAAAACCTTCTATCCCTTGTTGGTAATCCCTTAGAGAATCTTCACTTCTATCAGACCTTCTGCCGCAAAGTAATAATTAAGAAGAAAGATTTTCAAGGTTGAGGCCCTCTTGCTCACTTGTATAGTTGTGTCCACTTGGGAAAGAGATCACAGAATACATAAAACGTGGAAACGATGTAATGCCTTTTTGTAACCTCGTCGTCGTGCTTTTGCCTAATCCTAAGTGCATACTTATATGTACGTGATTTATGCATTCACAACCATGTAAATGTTACCACTCCTTTATTTAACTTCCTTATCATGCTTTTGTCTAGCTGTAAGTAGGTGAATATGAAATAGTTTTTGTTAAAATAAATATAATTTGTTTGCAGTGCTTAAAAGGAAGTATAAAATAGGAGACAAACCTCGAGACATAGGTGGGCAGAAACATCCTGATCAAAGACACCGAGAGCAATCACAGGAAGCGATGTGAAGAACACATTATATAATGACATATACCAGTCATTATAAGCAGGTCGGCCAGAGAAAGAAGCAAAGCCCTCGAACCAGAAAAGGGTCAACCCAAAGGCGATGTTCTTGTAAAAGAAGTAGCATAGCTGCAACCATGCCAAGGTGATATCAGGAAGATCATAAATGTCTCTAATTCACAACCGAACATGAAACTGGCTATTCACTTTATAGTGTGCCATACTTCTTAATGGTTTAAAAAAACTGTAAGCCTGCTTATATAATTATGTTTGCACGCCTGCTTAATTAAAAATATTCAACTAAATCCTGCAAATGTTAATTACATCAATTCAATTTGTACAAATAAGGTAAAAAAGAATGGTACAATTCAAGATGAACAAAATGCCTGATGTGGTTTCTGGTCATATCCAATTTTATTTTTATTTCACCAAGAACAGATAGCGAATACTTACCATCATCGATATTCTTCTGTAGCACCAGTGGCCATGGACCAATAACAAGCGCTCAAGAAAACGGAATTGAGCTATTGCATAATCACTTGACATGACAGCCTAGTAAGATTTGCATAATCATCAGTTTAACTCCTCTAAAACATTGACATTGTTTGGCAGAAAGCATATGTGCTCATATTGCCTACTACACAATTAGAAATCACAGTCTATCAAGAGAGACAAGAAGAGAGAACGTCTTCAGCAAAAAGCTTATGACTCTAAGCATTGACTAACTTCATAAGTAGTATTTATGCCAAAAAAAACAGCAGCAACTGATAGAGGAAAAACAGTGTTACAGCTCCTGCTAAGTCAAAAATCCATATCAATGGCAGAATGTTGAAAGTTCAGAGGAACAGTTATCAGCAAAAGGAAAAGTGTCTCATACAAAAGAGCTAACATATACTAAAGTACCTCACGTTACTTCTGTTCTCCATTTTCCAAAATAGCTCACTAAACTTCATTAAGTCTCGACTCCTTGATTATCAATTCCTAATCCTCCAGAACTATGACTAGTGATGAATAAAAACGTACTAAATTCAAGCTTGCTACAATTCGTAAAGTCGGACTATCCATAATGCAGACCAATCATAAGCAGCTACTAGGCTAGCAGAATTCCTACATTAAGAACTTGAAATTTGTGGATATGCAACACACCAAGTAGAAGACACAATTATCATCAAGTTCATTAGTCAGAAAGTTTGTTTCTGCTCAGAAAGTTAATTCACTGCAGAAAAAATAATACAACAGAAAGAGTAGATTGCTGCAAAACACTACATTATATAATCAAACAGTCATGTACCAGTGGATCTTACACTGCATGTTTTTTCCCTTAAAATATATCACAGTTGCATGATGTACTTATATCCTCATTTTTCAGTAGCTTTTTAGGCCTCCAACAGACCTTATAAAAGATATCAAAATTACATGTGCTCACAATCTAGGGAGAATAGATACAGCAATATGTACAGAAAAAACAGGACAGCCAAAGCTACTACCTAATCCCTCACCCAAACCCCCACTAGAGGAAAGATATCCACCCCTGACAAGGAAAAGGTAAAGTGAAGTGGGAAAACGAAGAAAAGGGAAGGGGGGGGGTCCAAATGCTGAGAAATGGAGGAAGGAAAAAGGATAATACAAAAGAGGAAGAACTAGACAAAAATATTTAACCTGCATTCCTTCAACACCACTGATACCAACCCCAACATCAGCCTCTTGCAGCATGCTTACATCATTTGCCCCATCCCCAATTGCTAATGTAGTTCGGTGTGTTTCAACTTTCACCAGTCTGGTAACCTGCATATCTTCAAATATTTTTGTCAAATTATTCAAATGGCCAACAAAATGAAATATTGAACAAACTTTGTATACAGCTCATGAAAAAATTTCTCTAAATACAAAACTGTAAGGGATAGCACTTACAAGAGCTTTTTGTTTAGGAGTGGACCGGCAGCAAATAACAGATGCACAATTTATTGCAAGCTCCAAGAATGATTTTTCTAGTTTTTTGTCAAGAGCAAATGACAATGATTTTCCATCAATGACCAAACCAAATGATGCAGTAGTTCCTCTGCTTGAGCTTACTTGTAACATTCCCTCACGTATTTGCTTTGTAATGCTATCATGTGAAGCCTACGACAGTTGAACTTGGTCAAAAACATAAAATTAAAAAAAAAAAAATGTGTTTATTGTAGGCAAAACAAATCCAAAATCCTGTACCTTTGCTATAGTCTCCTTGTTTCCTTGGTTTTCCAAGTCCAATATGTCTTGAGAATCTAAAGTAATTATGATTTGCCTCATATCTGGTCTTAATAAACTACAAGCATACCTAGAGGACATTCAGAAAGATGATGAGAACTCCATTCACCGTTTGATTATGGAAGTTGCATCATTTTACTATTAAAACCTACCCAATATTGATAGCCGTTTCCATCTTATCACCAGTTAAGACCCAAATCTTAATTCCAGCTTTTGCAAGTTTATCAATGCATTCAGGGACCTGTAGCAATCAGTTTGGAATTGGAGCAAGTCATGTACAATGCAAAGCGAAAAAAGGAGGTTGCAAACTACTCTGAATTGCATGCAATGTGCAACACAAGATTAAAGCTCACCCCTTTTTGAAGTTTGTCCTCAACAGCAGTAACACCAAGGAGAATTAAGTCCCGTTCAATCTTCTGAGCAGCAGCATCCACCAAAGCATCTCTATCTGCTGTTACAGAAGCTTGGGCATTCAAAAACTCTTGTTCCCATGATTGGAACTCTTTCTTATCAAGCTCACGGTAAGCTACAACAAGAGTTCGCAATCCTGCTTCAGCATATTGTTTAAGATGTTCCCTTGTTATACCCTCAAAGACCCGCCCATCTTTTGAAAGCTGTTCGAACATCACACTAACAAAAGGAAATATTACGAGCAAGAAGATATTAGTCTAAATTAAACAGAATCGGAGGATTTGAATCATATTGATCACTTGATAAGAAAAACTAGACACATGCAAGGGCAGTGCACGGAGATACAGACCTGTCTGCACCTTTGCTGAGGAGCAACAACTGGTTCTCAGCATTTTTTACAATTACAGACATTCTCTTCCGCGAGCTACTGAACTCTAAGACATGAAGGAGCTGATATGATCTGAAATGAAGACCACGTCATGCAGAAAGCAATAAAACTAATAAAGGAAAAGGGTAAAAATAATTCCATAACCAATTGATAGGTAAAGAATTGACGACATCCTGATATAATTTTTAAGTTCATTGCAGCATTTTATTTTTTTCAAACTGAAGAAACGTAGAGTTGTATAAGTTGCAGCATATTATTCATATCTCATTTATCTCAGTATCAAAGCAGATTAAACATATCTGGTTTATACAAACAATGAATCTTGCTTTGCTGTTGAAGCAAAAGCATCTGAGTTGAGAATATTAGGGGCTGAGAGTAAGGAAGAGGATAGCATCCAAGTTTGGAATTTACACAATAATTCTTGTTGAATTGTGTGATCACCTCATCTAAAAACATAAGCTGTTTTTTTCCACTAAAGGAAGCACAAGAGGTTTGAAAGGTGAAACTTTCATTTATTTACATTAGGTCTTCAACATGTCCCTTTAGGTGCAGGTCTGATTTTTTTCCTCAGGACCAAGGACCTTTCTAACATGTGATCTTTCATCTACAGAAGACACTTCTGATGCTTGGTTTCAAAAGATGTTGAAATTTCTTGTCAAAAAACTTTTTCAACTTCTCTATAAAGATCTTTTCAAACAAACAAGATTGAAGAGAAGTTTTTCATGTTTTAAAAAAAAAATTAAAACATTTCTCAAATGGACTTTTGTCGCCTGTTTCTGAAACAACTGCCACCTTATTTATTTGTATTATGTTTTCAACAAATCTGAAGGACAAAGCTACTATTGTTGGTTGGCACTTGGCAGGCCACAAAACTAGTATTTAATCCCTGAGAAAATATCAACCAACAGAAATAAGCCCTGCCAGGGATTCTTCAACACCACACAACTAAAAGAGATGAAATAAAACAGAGTAGATAAACCACATCCCAAAAGGACAAAATAGGGAAATGTGGATGTATTCTTGGCAACTGGATGAGCAAACCACTTTCACATCTTTGAACAGAACTTCTGAATATTCAAGATTCCAATACAGGAAAAACCAAATCAAAGATTTACCTGTCAACCATCTTGCCACTCTGATGATCCAATTCATGCAGTGTAATTCTGTTTTGTGTTCTTTCAAAGAACTGAAACCCAAGTTCCCTTGCTGCAATGACAAAGGCAGCTTCATCTGGTGACTCTGCTTCATAGGAGATCTCACCTGTTTTTTTGTTCACGTCAGGAATAACAGTATGACAAATCGCCAGCACTCTAAAAAACTTTTGTATCATGTCTCGATTAGGCTCATGGACCCATTGGCCATTCATTATACGCTCATCTTTGAAGTTGAATCCTTTAATAGACTTCTCTGAGTTAACAGCAGGGTCAGTTGATTCCTTCACGTCATTGGAAGTATCACCTACTTCCTGTTCTCCATCTCTTTTTTGCTTTGCCAGGGCCCTCTCTACCTCTGTCAGAACACGTCCATACGCAACACCTGCTATTGAACATTTAACAAACTCCATGGAGTTGCATGTTAAGGTGCCTGTTTTGTCTGAGAGTATTGTGTCAACCTGACCAAGTTCCTCATTCAGATTAGATGTTCTTGCATGAGCTGGCTTATCTGTTTCCTCATAGTACATCTCCCTATCTTGATTGATGAATATGCTCTGTAAAACCTTCACAATTTCAATAGACACATATAGCGAAATAGGAATCAAGTACCCATACAACATAAGGGCTGTCAGGAAATGGAAAAATGCAGCCAGTGTAGCTCTTTTGGGATCATAAAACACACTTGTCTTGTCTGGGCGAAGATACCACCTCCTTAGTTTCCCACCAGAAATGTCATTTTTAGTTTCAATCCCGAAAAAGATAGATCCAATAAAAGCTATTGTAATCAAGGTACCAAAAAGAACATATATTATTTTATCCATCCTTTTCTCAATTCCACTCCTCTTAGAAGGAGGATCTGTAGAATTCTGCATGACTTTTGTGTCATGACCAGTAAAAATAACCACACCATAAACATAATCAGTATTGCGTAGCTTGGAACCTCGCAGAAGTATTTGCTGCACTGAAAGAGGGTTCTGCTGATTATCATAATACAGAGTTCCAATGAAAGTATAAAGATCTTCATTTGGATCTTCACACTTAACAACACCTTTAAAATTTTGAAAAGAACCATCGTCTTGCAGGGAGGATGTGATATTTAGTGCATGCTTCACCTTAAGGTTAGTCTCTCCATCAAGATTGGAGGTTTCCACATAACATATCCCATCCTCGTAGCTTGATGAAAGCAAAAGCAAATCAGTGGGGAAATATTGATCCTTGTACACCTTAATAAGATCACCAACTCGTAAACTTTTCCATCTAGTCTCTTGGAAAGTATGATTTTCAGTGTATACGTTTACTTTCCGGTTATTGGCTTCAATATCCTGAAAAAGATTGCAAAAAAAAGAACTAAAATTTTACAAAGAAAGACCATTGGATATATCTTTGAACTTGCTTACAACTAACCAAAAGCATGCCAAGTCGCCAACATTTGTTTTTGTCAGACTGCCAGAACCAAAGGCATGCCAACATAGACTAAGAGCAAGCTATTGATCAGAAAGTAAAAGCACAACCTTGCAATTACACAACTAAAGACATCAGAAAGTCCTAGTGATGTTTTTCGACATGACATCTAGATCACTCACATTATAGTACATCTGATTTTACACCTGAGATACATGCTGCAACAAACAGTAACTATTCTAAGTAAATTATCCCTTTCAAAGAATCTTTTTCACCAGGGAAATAAAAAAGTTGAAACACTTGTGTTCAACCAATAGGGAAACAAAATGTTTTAAAGTAATAAATTTCATTTTAAAAAATTGTATCAAGTAGTCAACGTTTGTGCTTGAGAAAATATCTTTGTATTTACTATTCATTTTGGGAAGATCAATTATAGAACATGTTCATTAAGGCAATGAACCCGAGGGTCAAGAAAGGCACTGCATTTATTGATTTATTCCAAATATGTTCTTCTTTTTGAAGTTGCTTCACTACTATTAGTAAAAAAGTGTCACTACACATCTCTTTGGTTTCTATTTTCACAAGCATTGTTGCCTAGACACATTATAAATATATTACAAGAATCTACTTAACATGTCTATCAGCCTCATTATCATTGCCCTTAGTTGCTAAACCACATTGGCCAAGTTAAATCCTAGTTCATTTAACCATTCATAAAAGCAAAACCATTTTAGTGATTAATTTTCACCCTAGTTAGAATTGATCATGATTGGTGAACAGGGAGCTATTTGATCCCTGACGAGGAAAACAGAGCATAAAAATCTATGAAAGAGGATTAACCAGTAGCTAGCACAAAAGATTCTCAAGCATCAGAATACATTAAGCATATACCTGCCTTTTGCGCCTCCAATCTTCGATCCCTTCTTTGGCCATCGTTGCCCCAATCACAACCAGCAAAGGTGCTAAAATGCTGCTGGCTGTATAGGGAGCTAGAGGACTAAATGAAACACAAGCAACTACAAGAAAGTATATATTTGCAACCCTTCTAAATTGTTCAAACAATGATTTGGGTATGAAATTAATTGCTGTGTACTTTGTAGTAGAAACATAATTCCCCCTATAATTTAGCTGGACCTGTTCTGGATTATCAGGATCATTACAATACACAATTCTTGAAAAACCCCTCTTCCCAATATGACCATGTTCCTCTTTAAACGAACACTTCATGCACGAAAAACTGTATATCTTACTAAAACATATTTTCATCTTACCACCTGCCATTTTCTCTCAAAAAAAAAAAACCCGATACACTAAGCTCCCACTATGCAGGGGTCCAAGAAAGGCCGAACCACAAGGGTCTAAAGAAAAAAAAAAAAAAATTTTGAACCAGTACTGCTTACAGCTTGCCACTGAGACAAAACAAGAAAACAAGAATGGAAGAGTTATTAACGTCAAGATCCTTCTTTTCTCATGTTTTTAACTTAAAATTGCCATAAAAATCCAGCAAAATACCAAAACTGATAATGGGGTTTCAAGAAAAGTAAACCCTAACAATTAGTTTTCCTGAAAATTCTTATCTTTGTTCTTTAGCACTACTACTACTACTAAAGATCCCTTACTTGCACAGTTCCACTGTCGGTGAAATGACAAATATGGTCTAAACTCCAACTTTTTCTTACATTTACCTGCAAGAAGAACAAGAAACTTAGAAACATCCACACAATGGAATACAGACAATCTTGCTTCCATAAATTTTTCAACAAAGTGATTTTGGTTAAGATTAGGAGAGAAAAAAAGAAATAAGGACTTTCTAGTTGGCCAACAAAATGTGTCAATTTTATGTTTTGCTGTTTCCACAAGTAAATACTTCATCCATTCCATATTAAGTTAATTATTGAGGTGTTAAAAAAACTAGATTAAGACATAAATTGAATCTAGCTTTTCATTTTTACATTTATTAATTATTGTCAAATCTATAATTAAAATAACTAAATATTAATTAATCACTAATTTCAATACATTTAATAAAAAATAAAATTAGAAAACACTCTAAAAATATCTTAAAAATTAAATAATTAAATTAATTTTAAAAATAAAAAAATATTTTAAAAATTAACTTAACATAAAATGAAGGGAGTACTAATAAGAGAATGAACAGTGGAACTGTTGTACTAGTACTAAATATAGCGATGCTTTTATCGGAACTTTGACTTACGTGGACTGACTAAATGTTGTAATTCATCCTAACCGTACACGTGGAGGTGATGTAAATCGGTGTAAAATTTGGGTCAAGATTAACGACGACTATAATGTATTTTTGTGGAGGACGACGTTATATATTGTAACCGTTTGGACAAGCGCGTGGTTCGATGAAAATAATCTATTTTTTAGTCTATTTAAAAAAATAATGGTTCTTTTTTCTTTTTTTTTAATATTTTAATTTTAATTTTTCACTTGGTATGTTTAAAATCATAAGATTTAAGAATGTTTTGGGATATTTAACATAACTTTAATTTAGGATCACAAAATTAAAAAATCTTTTTTATTTTCGTAAACTTTGTGTCAAATCAAACTAGGTCGTTCTTTTTTAAACAAAGAGAATATTGAATATGGTGTATTAATAATGTTGACATTAGCTTTACTAGTTTTAGTAGTGTTGAGATTATTTCCACAGGTAATAATAAAAAATGATCTTAAACTACGTAAAATTGAACTAAAATGCCTTTTAGTTAATAATTTGATCTTAAAATCTCTTCGTCGTCACTAGTTTGGTGCGGAAATGTCCCGATTTATTACTTATTCTACTTCAATCTGAAAAGATAAAAAATTAATCTTATTTTATTATAATTATTTTTATCATTATCTAAATAAAAAGTTAATTATGAATTTGCTATGATCTTATATTTACGAATTATATTATCAACAAAAAAGTTATTTTATATTAATTGTTAAAGTGTTTACGGGAAAAAATTATTTCCTACTTAATTATATATTAAAGTGATTTTAAAAATAAAATAAGAATTGAATTCTTTAATAAGAAATTTTTTATTAGAAATATAAAATTTTATAAAGAAAAAAATACTAATATTTTTATCAGGAAAATTACTTTTTTTTTACCTATTAAAGAATAATAGGACATTTTTTAATCACTATTACCAGTAAGAATACTTTTAGACTAAACAATCAATTAATGACATTTTACTTCAATTTCACACAATTAATTAATGACATTTTATTCAATTTCACACAATTAATTAATGACATTTTATTCAATTTCACATAATATAATTTTTTTTGTTTACCCTTTTCCATTGTTTCTCTTCAATGCTTTCTAACTCTTTTGAATTGTCCTTTTATTTGTGTGGTTGTTTAATATTTCTCAAGTTATACCAAAGTAAACGTAGGAGTCATCCTTAAGCAGATGTCTCGAGTTTCGGTACAAAGTCGCTTTTGTAGATAACGTTTTACCTCATAGAAACTTCTCGACGCGTATCTGAATTTAATCGAACTTCAATATAAATATCAAACACCAATTGAGAAGCCAAAAAAAACAAACATACATCAAGTCTCACAAGGGAATTATTGACTATCAAACAAGGTCTATAATCAACAAAAGAAAGGGGCTATTGAGGATTGGATGGGGGAATAAACTATTTATTTGTGGTCAAATTAATCGAAGAGGATAATATATTAAGGTCATTATTAAAAATTGTCAATAGTTATTGGAAATGAACAATATCATAACACATATATTTGGAGGGAGATAAATAAACGTACAGATTTTTTGATGAACAAAAGCTACAAACATGCAACAAATTTAATAGTTTGAAAAGACACACTAAGGATATATAGTTTATTCTCCAGTAGATTTAGAGCATGCTTGGATAGACTTTTAGTTTATGACTTATAAGAAATAAGTTAATATTTTGAGAAAAGACATAAAATTACCATTGAAGTTGTCTCAAATTTTCAAAAAGACACCTTAACTTTGTGGGTGTCCTATTTCTCCATTGAACAATTTAAGAATGTTAAAAATATCCACTTTTCACCCAATCTCAACTGCAAGAAAAGAGGTGCAATCACGCACCAATTGTTGTTTGACATGTATTAAATTCTTTTAATTTTTAATTTTTAGTTTCATTTTCATTTTTTCTATTTTTATTAACTTTATTTTCATTTTTTCCCTCTTTCTTCTTAAATCTTCATAACTCAAATCCTTTGTTCTTTGTTGTAAATCCTCCAAAAGTAGCAACCATTGTCGCCTTCAACGTAGCCTCCATGATGCTTCCCTGTTACAACACTATTTCCGCCACTAAAAAATCACTAAAAAAAATTAATTCAACTCTCAAGTTACTAAAGTAAGGTAATGAGACCAAAAAAAAAAAAATAGAGTTTCATAGTACTCTCTAGTCAATGGAGTTCACATTTGTTTTTATTTTATTTTTTTAAAAGAGGATAAAAGAAGAAAAAGAAACAAAGAAAAGCAAGAGACAAGAAAAAAAAGTGATAAAAATGGATGAAGTAAATGATCTTCTAAGTTGAAGTAGATGAAGAAAAGATAATTGGATTTTGAATTTGGGTGAAGAAGATAATGGGAAAGATGATGCAAATTAATTAAATAATTAATAATAAAGAAATAAAACAACACATGACACTTTAAAACTGGTTAATGGCGGTGAAAAGATTGGGTCACATGCCTTATGTGCGTGGTAACAACCAAGACGAGGAAATGGGTCAAAATGGCCCATTTACAAATATATTAAATAGTTCTGTGGGTGATAGGATACTTCCAAAGTTAAGGTGTTTTTATGCAATTACGGGACAACTTTAGTGGTGAATTTATGTCTTTTCTCTAATATTTTCTAACTTTTAACTTTTTACCTTATTTTGTTATTTTAGCTTTAAAATAAGTATTTATAAGCACCTTTTAATTTCACCTAAATACTTAAAAAAATTACTTTGATTTTAAAATATTAAAATAAGTCAATCCAAACAAATACTTAAGCCATGAATAATATTAAGAAATCAATTTAGTTCTCCTATGTACCACAAAAAAAATATTTGTTGATGTTCTTGTTTCTCCACACTTGAGATTTCCTAAATCTCAATTTTATTTTATTTTTTAAAAAGGTTTAAATATTGAAGAGTTTTGTTGAGTCTGAAACAGGTGAAACAACTTTTAATGTTGCAGTAGAGGAAGTTTGCTGGATTTGTAGTTTCTTGCAAAATGGATCATTTATGATTTTTATCAGTTTACTAAAAACAAAAATTAGGAAGAAAAAATCATCACATAAAATGTTAAACTTTCTAACAATATAGCTAAGATAATACATATATGATACTAGTTACGTGAAAAAGAAAAATAAGATTCAAATACAGCATTTACAATAGATAATACATATATTAATGAGTGAAAAATAAATAAAAATCTAATACTACATTTACAATAGATAATACACATATTAATGACATGAGAAAAGAAAAATAAGAATCAAATATTGCATATATGATATCCTTTTTTAAAATATATATATATACACGAAATTACTTTCCGTTTCAATTTAATATGTCCTCGAAAATAATATTTCTATCTCTACAAAATATAATTAAAATATGTGTATATTCTATTATTTCTATTATCCCTTATAAAATTAGACTTCCCGTATATATTATTGTTAATTTGTTATTGTTGTTGAGATTACTTCTCAATGCTACCAACGAAAGGTCACCAAAATTTATGTCAAAAGTCTTGTTCAGGCAAAATTGTAAACTACGATCAAAGAAAATGGAAAATAAAGCAAAAATTGTAATTCCGAGTGCCTTTTCAACATTATTGTCAAAACATCTGTTCCTTCCCCCCCCCCCAAAAGGATGTGTTACTTTTTTTCATCCAAGGTAAAACTAAAGTCCATTAATGTACTGTCGTGCAGTCAAACTTGTTTCTCCCATAAAAGAAAAAAAGAAAAAAAAAACCTTACTATAATTTTTTTTTATATATATAAATATATAAATAAATTACCCTTCTCTCTCTTCAATAAACGGCGAAGATTCGATCAGAGTAGCCGGGGACGACTAACTTGCAACGTAACAACTATAATATCTTCCGATTCCTAATCATCAATGGCGGAGTAGTCCAACCGTTTCATCCCCAAATTCATCTTCCTTAAACGTCGCCGTTTTTATCTGGATTTGGATTTTCCGGTCAAAGTCTAGTCAGATTGAGTCCTCGAAATTCCTCTTTTGCATATCAGCTCGCATCGGAACCCTAGGTCTGTACTCATTTCTGATTGAAATT